AGAGTTCTTGGAACTTTTTCGATAATTTTTTATTCCAAAGCAGCAAAATTCAAAAGAACACCGGCAACAGGAAAATGATGGGTCTTAGATTTGTGCCAAATCAAACATATATTTTAAATTAGAAACGTACGAGAATTGACCTAATATTCAACCGGTAAAGTTCCATAAAATCAAGAACCCAAGCTCACAGTTTCTACCCGATAACCATAAAAATTCATCGCCAAAATAGATAAGATTGAGAAAAAGAAAAGCCAATTAGGGATTCTAACCTTAAAGATCAAACTCTTTCCAATCCGGCCAGCAGGATGATTTGCCGCATAGCCTTCTTTCGTCAAATTCTTGGCATCCATCAGTGCGATCGCGACCGTGCACCCAAAAACCATCTGAATTGCCGTCGATGTGGTTGGCGCCAAATCAAACGGGCATAATTCCCTCTCCAAAGGCAAATGAACATTTAAATCACACAACCCCATCAAGGCATTCGCCTCCGTTGATGTCACAGATATCAAGAATGCTCCTTTTGCCCTCGCGCACGGAACCAACTTTACCAATTCCTCCGAATTCCCACTCTTGCTAAACATAACCAATACATCGTTGTCGGTTAAAATGCCGATATCTCCATGCAGAGCGTCGACAGGGGACAAGAATTGGGATTTGATGCCAAGAGACACGAAGGTCTGTGAGATGTTTTTGGAGACGAAGCCGGATTTTCCGACACCGGTGATGAAGATCGTACCGGTTGAGTTTAAAAGAGTCTGTGTGAATACATGGGTTTGGGTATTGTCTAGCTTATCGAAGAAAGTGTTGAGATATTTCTGTTGAGATTTGAAGAGATTTTTTAGTTTGATTGGATCAATGAGTTGGGCTGATTTTTGTGATGATGGATCTGCTAATATATGTGGAAGAGACCCCATTTTTTTTTTTCAAATCTCCTGTTTTCCTAATACAATAATGTTCGTAGATTGGTTCGCCGGAGAAGGATTCCGGCGAAAATGGGGGAATATGGGCACAGGAATAGATGGACACAGAAAGTCGTTGCGAGATAAACGGGTTGGGTGGTAAGCTGGAAACAAGTAGGGGGTATGGGAGGTTTTGTTAATTGTTAGGCTGGCAACACTCATTTTGAATTAAATTTTTTTTTTTTGTTTTAGATTTTGAGAAAAAGTTTAATTAAAAAAAACACAGTATATTTTAAAGTAAACTACATTTTTAGTCCATGTGGTTTGTTAAAATTGTGGATTTTGTTTCCTTGGTTTTGAAATTATGATATTCATTTTTATAGTTTGTAATTCATTTTTATTTTTTTCTTAGGCTAGAACACTACTTTTAACCATGAAAGATTAAAATAAAAATGAACTGTAAATCATAGGGACGGAAAAAAAAATCATAAAGATGAAAAGATAATAGATCATAAATCATAAAAATAAAAAACATAATTTTAAAATAAGGACGAAAATAGAAATTTTCAACAAAACTTAATTGAGGTTTCTTGGTAACCAGACTTCACAAGGACTAACCGCAAGCACGAGAACTGTATTACCCTACCGCCGGTTACTTTATCAGGGCTCCGCAAGAGAAGAAAGAAGGTTCAGGTCCAATTTCTAATGAAGTGAAGGTCCCCCTTTACTAAGTCCGTTCGGGGAGTCTATGGCATAAATAAAGAAGGATTTGAGTCTGAGAAAGGTTCGACTTGACCGGAGTGGATCGCAACTCAAGCACAACTAGAGTTCACTCACCCACGTGCCCAATACTTGATGTTAGCATGTCTGGCTCTCGACCTGCTTCAGTCTCTAAAAAACTCTGGCAGCTGAAATCATTGACTTTGCGTGTGGTTTGATTAGGACATTGCAACATTTCATCTCGAAAGAATCTACCCAGTCTAAGGTTGAAAAGGGGCACGGAAAACACAACTTATTTAAATAACCTGGTGACCTACCAATTGTAGAAGTAGGATTTTGGGCTCATTTTAGCCAGGAGCTTACTTTAACTACTTATTTAGCTACTTTAGGTCGTTGTAGTCCAACTTAACTTGCTCTATAGTTTATATGTGATTTAATTTTTTTAAACTTTTTTAGCAAATAAGTTGTTGAATTTATTGAATAAATAAGTCATTCAATTTATTAAAATCAGAAAAAGATCAATAAATTTTCATATTTTAAATAGTTAAATTTTTGAACAAATAATGTCTTATATTTTTAAAACAAAAAATATGTTATTTTTTATCTTCGTGTATCAACAAATCATTAGCAAGAAACAAAATAAATAGATGGGAAAAAAAACTACACTATTTTTATTAACCATTATTTATTTATATGATTGGGTTCTAGTGAGAAGTATAGAAAGTGATTTACGCCACTAGATTCACATTTGGATGAGGTGCACCAGACCAATCCCTATATTAAGCGTAATTCATGAGTGAGTTTGAGATTAAATGTGATCAATGTCCAATATTCTTTCTTACGTCTCTCACTTCAATTCTCCTTCTCACACGATCATTCACCTTTATTTATAATATTTAAATGATAACCAGAAGATGTTTGTCTTGATTCCGTGGTTGTTTGAACCTAAAAACTAATAACTATTAGTTTCTAACTATTGTAATTTGAATATGAAAATTACAATGATACATAATCAATTTCGTTTATTGATGTATTATACTTTTGTTATTGGTCTATTGATATATTGATATCGTTCGTTCTATAAGTGTGGGGACTTTGTTTCAAACATGTTTAAAGACTTAATCGTTCAACATATGAAAATTCATTGAGTTTTTTTTCGTTTTGAAAACTTAAGGAATTTTTTTTGCTAGATTTTAAAATTTTCAAGGATTTATTCGTCAAAAAAGAGTCCAACATGAAATTTCAGTTAAGATTTTTTTAACTTTTCCTTGATATTTTCTACAAATTTCTATAAAATGAGAAAACACAAAAAGAGATGTTAAAATGTTCAAATCTACCTAAAAGTAATTGTTTAGGAAAAATAGATAAGTTTTTTTTTTTTTTTAATTATTTTCATCGAGAAAAAATTTGAAATTAAATATTTTGAAGAGATAATAATATTTTACTTATACCCATATCCTACAGATAGCATGTAACAAAATATGTAAAATATTAAATGGCAAAAGAAAATTATTGGAATATAAACAATATTGGTAAATTCTAAACATTATATATATAAATAAAATATAAATAAGAAAAAGTTTTTGTCTCATGTTGTCCCAACTTGTCCAAGTTTTTGTTTCTGTCTCATGTCGCGTCAAACATGAGACAGTGGGTTCTTGTTCTGTCTCATGCTGCACCAAACATGAGACAGTGAGTTTTGTCCCGTCCCATCATGTCCCGTCTTGTACCAAACGCAGCCTCAAAGACAATCTTTCTCTTTCTTGTATTGTTTCTTATTTTTAGTCCTCCTATTTTTCCTGTTGCGTTTTCATACCCTAAAACAAAAACTTGTTGCCACTTTGGTCCATATTTGATGTATCAAATGTGAACTTGAAAGAAAGTAAATAAAAGAAAACTACATTCCTTTCCTCCTCATTTGTGATTGATTTGTTTTACATTGAAGTTAAATATATTAAATTATTAAATTTGATTTTTTATAAATAATTCATCATTTTTATTGAAAAGTAAAAACAACTAATATTATTTGAATAACATATAAAGAGTACTTTGTCATTCATGTCATGTTATACTAAAAGTATGCAACAAACAACATAGAAGTAGATATTTAGTTTGGGGTTATAAGTATATATAAGTCAAAATCGAAATGTTGTTTTCAAAACTTTAAAGTCGGTCATAAATACAAATAAGGACAATCATAAATCAATGTAGTAGAATTTAATTTAATTAAAAATAATTATTTTAACTATTAAATGCTTTGTTAATTTTAAATAAATATCGATCCGTATTGTAGGGGTGTTGAATCATATTTGGTGTTGTCTTAGATATAGATGGTCAAAAGGACTAGATTGTTTGGTTTAGACGAGCCATTTGGTCTAGACCAGATTAGTTCCAAATTAGATCATGGCGTCATCATTATGGGCTAGACTAGGCTAGATTACGATCCTTAATTGTTCCAAACGTTTTTTAGATGGATTAATTAGTTTTAAGGATCAAATGAAAAAATGGACTACACTATGTCGGACTAGCTCGGATTATAACGGAATCGAACCAACTCACTTTTTCTGTTAAGAGTTTGAAGTTTGATAAAAAAAAATTATAATAAATGTAACTAAAAAAAGTACGATCTAAATCAATAATTTTCTAAGAAAATAAAACATAAATTAACAACCAATACCGAATATTAATAAATTTTATGGTAATTTCATATTTGTAATTCTTTTAATTTATTGTAGTTTCATTTACTTTTCATGTTTTCATTTTTCAATCTATAAGAATACTTAAATGTATATTCATTTTTTTCTTGAATATAATTGAAGTTGTAAGTTAAGAATATTGTCTCCGACATTTGCCTATATTTTCATAAATGTAAAATAAAACATGTTGATTGTTAAAATAATTATTCTTAGAGAATAATTATAAAATATGTATTAAATATAATTATGATAATTACATGATGTAAATGTATATAATTATATTAAAATTTAAGATAATTAAAAAAATATTTATAGATAATTACATAACCTTATTTAATAAATAATTTTCTATTTAAAACAAATATAAAAACATGTGGTGTGGTTCCGTACTAGGAAAGATCTAAAACACATGTTGTGATATGGAGATGCGCCGATGCGGTGTGAGTAGAGATTCCTGTAAAAAAATTAATTTCAAATTATTAATATTTTTTATATCATTCTTTGAATACCACCATCTGGCCATAATGCATTGCAATTGCAAGCAAGCACACACGGTGTTACTTCCAACCGCCACGTCGGCACCGAGATCCTCTCTCTCTCTCTCTCTCTCTCTCTCTCTCTCTCTCTCTGTTCTGCGGAAATGCTTATAAATCTCCACTCTTTCCTACCATAAGCTGAAAAAACTATGTCAGATTACTTGCCTTCCGATCTACACCTCGAGATCCTCAAACGCCTCCCTCTCAATTCCATTCTCCGATGTTCTACTGTCTGCAAATCATGGAATTCCCTCATCTCAAGCAATGATTTCATCTCCGCGCACCAGAATTTGATCAAATCGATCAACGGCGACGGAACTCAGACGCTATTGGTCAGGTATTTCGATCGAACACATAAAATCGAGAAATACATTATAGGAAGAGATGATGAAACTTTCGGATTGCAGTTTTCTGATATCGAGTTTCAATATGCGAGCACAACTGCATATTTTAGGGTTGTCGGTTACTGTGATGGAGTTGTTTGTTTGAGTGATGACTTGTTTGATTCCACGTATATGGTTATTCTATGGAACCCGTCGATTAGAAAATCCGTACGGGTTTTAGTTCCGAATTATGAACAAACCTGGTCTCAAGGGACTGTTTTGGGGTTTGGCGTTTGTCCAAGGACGCATGATCCTAAAATTGTGAGAATCGTGTGTGTGAATGACTTCTCAGTGCCGCATATGGTTAGAATTCAAGATCATTCATCGGTAGAGGTTTTTTCACCCGCATCAGGTGCTTGGAGAAAACATTTCGGTGTTAATCATTATCGTCCACATAAAATGATTCAAATCACTTGGTCTCAGATTTGCTTTAATGGAGTTATACATTGGATTGCTTGTGATAAACAACTTGAATCTAATCTTCGTTGTTTGATCATGTCGTTTGATTTGGTCCATGAGGTGTTTGCGGAAATGCCACTACCAGATGCCTTAGCTCGTCAACATGTCTCAAAGTTATCGATCAGTAATCGCAAAGGATATCTTACAGTGATGGAGTATGATATGGAAAAAGGGAAGGAATCTTGTGGTGTATGGGTTATGAAGGAGTATGGTATGATGAGATCGTGGGAAAAACTATTCATGATTCATCTACCTGGTTTGTTGAGAAAGCCGGTAGGGTTTCGGATGAATGGGGATATGGTGGTGGCAATGAAGAACAACGAGTTGGTTTCGATTGAATGCAATGGGAACATCAAGAGTCTTAACCTATATGGGAATATACGCTCTTACTTCCTAGGGTTATTCATGGAATCCCTAATTTTAGTCGATAAGCAAGATGGACAGTTGTACATTGTTAATGGCGATGGTGACGATGGCAACACTTAGCTTGTGCATGCATGGAGGGACCAAGGATATTGTGGTATCTATCTCAAGATTTTTATATTTGAACCGTGAAATAGTGTGACCATTTTCAAATTCCTTAAAGATTGTAACAAGCTTTGATTATACGAAAGTATGATCATCTTTATGAGATATAATGCATGTTGCCAAGTATTGGTGTAATTCGTACAGAATTATTGATTTTGTGTAACAACTTAGGGGCCGTTTAACAAACGCTTACCCGGATAAGCGCTTACCAAGTAACATTACCTTATGGGATGAATATGGTAAGGACCAAGAAACTTACCCGGTAAGAGGGAGACAAGGACCGAGAATCTTACCCAGTAAGTGAGGGCGATGACTCTTAATTACCATGGTAAACGCTTACTGGGTAAACTGTTGCATACGATGTCGTTTTGGTGAACTAAAGTTTTACATGGTAAGTAAGTGGTAGTGTTAAATTTTACCGATAAACGTTTACCGAATAAGTGTTTGGTAAATGATCCTTAATTCCTACTGCAGTAGATCCATGAAACTCGGTGCGCCCGGGCAAACCAGTTAACCGGCTAGATCTTTACTGATCCATGTTACTACCATGGAACAGGGACGGATTCAAATATTTTTTCGAACGGTGACACTATTTGACTATAAGAAACAAATATAAGGATATTCTTCATAAACTTATTATTGGTTTGTTCGTTAATTCATTGTTTTTCATACTTCATGTGTTCAAGTCTTTTATTGCAAAAAAATTCAGAAACATTATAAATCTAATTAAAAGCTAAAAACTGAAAAAATGATACTAATAGGATTCAAACTCGGGTTTAGAGTGGAATAAAAGTCTTGCACACTAACTCCATCATGAAAAAATTGTGTTCCTAGTTTCAAAATATATATTGTGACACAATAAATTGATATGGTGACACTTATCACGATCCTATTTTTTAAGATTACAACAAAGGAATGAAACAATGACCACATGTCACCGTAAAACCCCCTTGGTTCCATCCCTGCCATGGAGGCTTGACGGGTTAAGCTATAACCGGTTAGACTCATGGGTGGACCTTACCATCCGTAGGCGACTTCATTGTTTCGACAGTGAAAAAAATACGACTCATCATATTGATTATATATGTGTTATTGTTTTGCTTAGATAAACAAAAAAGGTGACAAGTAAATTTTAAAATGTGATTTTAATTAGAAGATTCGTCTCTCCAAGCCATCAATAAATTAGTTGGCTCAATTTAATTTCATTTTCTTTTTTATACTTTATTTTATAAATAAAATACAATTTTATTTAACGATTAGCTTTTTATTTAATTTTAAATATTATAATAATTATCTTGTGCTACGTTACCAATTTTTTTTGGATCCACTTGTAGTTACACTTTCTTCTTAGGTTGATGTTTTTTTAATTTAATTTATTTATATATTTATACTATATTATAAACTTATAAAGTATTTGACAAAAACTCTTAAAAACCACTTTTTATGCGTAAAGTACTGTTTATTAATGTATATTACTTAAAACTCAAGATTACAAATAGATTGTGCTTAAGTACAACTTATTAAAGCTCCATATCTGAATTCGTATAACTAACTGCAGATAGACATAATCAAATACAAGATAAACATATCATTTTAAATATAAAAAATCTAAAATATAATTAAGATAATCATTTAGTTCTAACAGAATACTTAATTATTATCTTTATAAAATGTTATATTATTAAAMCAAAAATAAATTATTTCGTTAATAACTTAAATTAAATTATAATAAAAAAATAAATTAAAGAAATTACATAAAAAATGAGAACTTTTAAATAGTTGATTTGTTTAACATTGATATATTTTTTTTCAATTTTTTATGATATCTTCAAATTTATATTTTATTCAAATATAAAATTATTATTGTTTTCTTAAAAACACATATTCGTATTATAACATCAACATAGACAAATAATAAAATAGAACATTAAAATCGAGATATGTCTCGCTGCATTGTGCGAGTACTATTCTTATATATATATATATGTGTGTGTGTGTGTGTGTGTATAGGAGGTTTACTTTACAAAGCACTGTACAAACCTCATTCAACCAATCATAATTTTTTATTTTATTCATTTTTTTGTAATTATGAGAGGTTGATTAATCATTTTTATTGTGAATGGTGTTAATCATGGATATTATCATATTCATTATTTTAATTTTAGAGAAATACATGAAACAATTTAATTAAAATTTCATTAAGTATTATATGAAACAATTTCATAACCATATATGAAAACAACTTCATCAAACAAAAGTATTATATGAAACAATTTCACAAGATTAAACAATTTTATGAAAAAAATTCATAAGATTAAACAATGAAATCGACGGATGATGGTAGTTTGCACGGTTTCTACAAATTGAGTGGTTTGTATTTGATCGCTACTCCCCCTCTCCCCCCCCCCCCTCTTTATAGTATATATATAGAGAGAGCCTAACCAATCATATTCCATCTTTATTTTATGTTCAAATGTAACTCATATATTAAATACAAGGGTAATTAGGTAATTTGACCTTTATGCAACTCCCTAATAATTAATTGGGAGTTACAAATCTTAAAGATCTCACTAATTGATCATGATGTAATTCTGAATTTTATCTTCATACGTGTTCATGATCGTAATTTTCAAGTGATGTTCTAAATATAATGATATTGTTTTTGTAAGTGTAAAAGATTTCCGTATCGTCCGAGTAATATGGATAATCCTATTGTAAAACATATCGACAACAATGGAAATGAGACAGTTAAAATCGTCTACGACTACGGTCGGAATTCGAATTCCGATAATGAAGAAGATGATCAAAGTGTTCCTATTGGTAAGTGATTAGTACGACATTTCATTTTGTTTAAATGAACGCATATCAAAGGCAATAAATGTTCATATCGATACATATACACAATCACATCACATGAATATGAACAGTATTTGTGATTCATGTGAACACAAGCTTCGTAGGTTTTCATGTACATACAACAGAGTTGGCTCCTGAATATATAGAAGATGTTCATACGGTTCACATGTTGTTTTGGTGAGACCCGTGAGACCACCTTTTTACACTTGAAACTTCACAGCAAAGCAGGCTGGTCTCTATAATTTTTTACACTTTAACCTTCACGGTGTTTTTGCTGTAAAGTTTCAACTGTAAAAATGTGTTCTCACGAAAACAGACTGGTCTCACGTGAACCCAACCATATATATATTATGTTTAGTACTGTACCATTTGTTTTGATAAAGTGTTTTTAGATTAAAAAAAGAGATTTAATCAATGCACAGCATAAATTAAAAGGTCCCCTATCCTTGATGATACAAGACATAATTAAAAGGGTGGAAAAAAATGGGCTATATTCAATGGCAGCTACATGTTAGAGTTAAGCTCTTTCAAGCATCAAAACTGCTGTTGTAAACGGAATCTTGTTTTTGCTTTTTCCAGTTAATAATGCAAGCAACTAATCCTTTGTAATCCATCTACTTCCACGCACCTGGTACTTACCAAAGCTTAAGCTTTGGTCATTGCTACTTTCACAACCGCTTTCTGCACTTGTGTATCCTGATCTTCGTCGATGCCTCTTTTTCTTAGCGGCCCCACTGTCGCTGAAACTTCCGTTCAGAAGGGGATCATCTATTCCACGTATTACTCTACGTTTGCTAATGCAACAGTCATCTCTTGTTCTATGATCCTTACCCGTCTTCTTCATGTTTTCAGATATTTTATGCAGTTTCTCGTTGAACTTTGTGATTCCCTTCCCTACAGGTTGCACAGCTTGGTTCACCGTAAACCTCAAATCACTAACAATCTGCATCAAAGAGTTGACAAACAATAACCATGGAGCCAATCGTTTATATAAACCGCATCTCCCACTGGCTTTGAAAAATAACAGCACTAAGAGAAGAAAGTTTTGGTTACCAAAAAAGATTGACAAAACTTACATATTCACCACCACCAACAAAAACATCACGAACACTTTCTCTAATGGCGGTTTTGTTCTTCACATCATCATAAGGTCGTGGGAGACGTAATTTTGTGGGGCGCTCACTGTCCCTTACCTCATCAGGGTCTAATGGACAGTCGGTAGATGCATAGTCTCCAAGAACAGAAAAATCTCCATGAACCAGATCTCCCATTAGCTTGTATGGCTCTGAGGGGAACACATATAGGTGAACCAAAGAAGCAACGCCCATCTGTTCTAGATTAATACAAAGACCTGTTAAATATGAAACTTTAACACGAGAAACTTCAGCAACAAAAATGGAATTGATAACAGATAACAATATATACATAACTGCTGTCCCATACGAATTCCACAACAAACGATACAAAATATGCACGATTTTGAGAGAATTTATATTATCTTCAAAATTTTCAGTTGATTACAAACTGGTGCGAGGAGGCATACTCTTTTAACAAAGCAATTTGGTTCATTAAATCCACAAACACGGAGACTCGATACAGTTGCAAAGAATGATTATCCTAACATCCCTAGAACTAGACTTTTAATCATTAATAGAGAGTTATTTATCATAAAAAAAACGCAGAGCAAGTTTGAAGTGTACTGAGAATCCTGTAATACTACAGCAAGTGAACCAAAAGACAATTAAGAGAAGAAACTATATCTGAATGAAGAAAATTACCTCAATACAAATAATAAAGTTCTGGATACTTGATTTAAATTGCAACTCCTGAGCTATTGGACTTTTAACTAACCCGAAAGAATAGAGAAGGGCAATAGCCACACCTTGCCACCAGGTCAGAAATACAATTGATTTAAATGTCAGAAACTTGGCCAGTGGATGGATATGTGCCAATTCATACTTTGTAATTTCGTAAAACTGAACTAAGCAATATAAAGCCCATGACTGACTGAAATTCAAAACAACAGCCATGTAAGGGTACCTACATAGTTTGATATAAAAAAGCATTAGTCAACACCCTTTACAGCTTAGATTCAATTTTGACAGCAGTGATGAGAATGATGAAAACAAAAGTTTAACCAAAAAGACCACTCCGAATGCCGAAGAAATATATAAAGCATTGTAAAAGCAATAATATGCCAGCCGTTTGAAAAAGAAGCGATATGGTATTACAGGTGAAGATAACAAATTGAAGATTTTCAGACTAACTAATCATATTGTCAAGAACAGACCAGCTGWTATCTTACCCACATTGCCATTTGAAGTCTCCTTCACAATATACATCAAAGGCTTCAAGAATCACCGCCAAAACAGCTGTAACAGCCTTTATAATCATCTGTTAAAGAAATCAATCTATTTCTCATCGATGATATAATTAACAATTGGARATCACTRGATTGAGCAKAAAGAAGTTTTTTATTCATGAGAAAACTTACATATTGTACGATTCCAGCTTTCATGATTTGGTAAACCCTCTGACCCAGTTGCCACGGTTCTAAAAATAAATTCATTGGAAAAATATGGTTAATGGTTCCCTTTTCAGAACTTTGCTCYAGCAAGGGGCTTTTCACGCCTGCACGCCCTTCCCTCTCCATGAAACTAATTGCCCTCTTCTCACCCCCTTGCAAGAAGAAAAAGGAACACTTTATCACCTCAATTACAAACATACTTCAACTACCAGACAAAACAAAATATCTACACATTGGATAATGGATATCACAAGCGAACAGTATGACCTCTAATGAGTTGTTAACTTGTGCAGTGCTCTAATCCCCCAATAAACAAGACTTTGTTTACCATAAAATATACTGTAGACAACTATTAATTTCCTGTCAAAAAATAAAAGTGGCTGCACAAAATATTGCTTAAAACCACTTTATATCCCCTTAACTTCACCTCACATAATCACTTTTGTTTTCGTTTCTATCTAATTTATTGAGGCGTTTATTTGTAGTTTTTCTAATCTAAACCAATCATGCAAACAGTATTCCTCAAACATTACAAGGCTCTTACTCTGTAAAAACCTGATTTTGTTGAAGTATTATTKACTGTTTGACCATTTGCAGTGATTTTACCTGAGGATGTTTCATCTAATAGAAGTCCATTGCACAACAAAATCCACTGACAGATTATTTTGCCAGCAATCAAGCAYTAAAGCTATAAATTTAATATCCAAGCATCTGTTTCCTCTGTGAATGAAAAATCCAGGCTCTTATCAATCTTAATGAACAATAGAGAAACATGATTTTTGTTTTGTTTTGGCATTTAAATTATATGCTCTTCATGCATCTTTAGTGTCACCAAGTCCCTCCTTAAGTGTATAACAGTAACCATCCAAGCACACAATAGCGACATGTGATTGCAAACATATGATTATGATAARAAAGAAAAAGAGAGAATGTCTTTAACAATAATATATTTGTAAGAATTTGGACATTCTATAATGCACCCTAGGTTCACTCCCACCCCCATTCCACAAAAAGTAAAACAACAATAATGTATATTTGAAGACGACATGTCCTTTGGGAAGGCCACAAGGGGTGGGGTTGTGAAGAATGCAAACAAGTGTTATTGCCTTGAACTGAAATAATATTGTAGAAAATYAAGCTAGGATATCATAAAATCTGTAAGCTGATTTTTAGGGATTAGTTACATAATTACTTATTCTCTCTTTATTAGATAGGATTTGTATTACATTTTAGAGGCTGAATTATAGAAGCCCTTACAGATTTGCTTGTATATAAATTTGTACATTGTATTCAAGTTAGAATAGAAGCTCTTCTCACGCATCTCAACCAGCTTCAAATATGATAAGCCATCGTTATAATCACGGTTACTAACTTCTTGAACCAAGTCAGAAATCACATACCCAAGCATGCAATAAGATATCTCCCAAAGCAATACATCGCAAAAGCTTCATAGCAATCTCGCAGTATCTCAGTTTCAACACTCATCGATGGATTCAACAGCGACACAAACTGCACAAGGAAGTTCTAATTATGACATGTATAATGCCTCCCCAGAAGGGTGACAAAACTCTAGCATAGCATTTTGTGTGGAGGTTGATAAACACAAGATACAACACATATTTCAAAGGGCACTACCTTTTTTACATTACCATCTGTATCTCTCTCTCTCCTCCCTATCAAAGATAGGAGTGTCCACCCGAACAGTTTCACTTAACAAACACAGCCTACAGCAATGCAATAAATTTGATATTTGCAACTGTGATGATGAAGTCATCAGTAGTTCTTTTTCTTAGGTGATGTCAAGCATCACCACTTGACCGATTATAAAATTCTACCACACAAAAGAAGATAGCTTGGGTGACCACACATAGAATCCATGATAATCAAGCTGGCAGAGGGGTCCATGGTCTAATTCTAAGCCTTCATAATAGTTACATCTATACAGAGCAATTGAGCACTTTCCAACTGTTAGTAGACTGGGTAAGTTCTTTTCCTAAGATCATGAATTTTTTGTTTCTTCATCTTTGCGCACATTTTAAATAGTAACCATTTTGTAACTGGATGATTAACTGATAACTGATAAGAAGAAAAACCTTCTAAAACTATAATGTAGCATTCATAGCCTAGTTCAGCAATCACTATAAATATTTAGCACTCACATTTATGATAAATAACAATCAGGTCGGTTGAAGAGTTTGAAAGCCTAAATATCTATATACACAAAAAATGCAAACAAAAGAACACATAAGATTCATGCATGTTAAAGAAAAAATATACATATCTCAAAAGAACACACATGAGATTCATGTTTTATTTTGACTCCATGACTCCACTCAAGCCATTGACATCCTAATTTCCATGTCATTTGCCTGACTGCCTGTCAAATAAGCAAATTCTGCTCCTATTTGTTAGCTGAAATCTGTCTCTTTATATAATCCTAAGTGTTAAAGACCTTTAACATCTTTATCATCATCAGTAACCAATGCATAATGCAAAGAAGATGCATGGATGAATAATATGCAAATGAAACACCGTTGTCTTACATGTCAATTGTGCACTATATTCCCAATTTTCGGCTGTTTGTAACCTTGTGTATGCTAACTACCATCCTCAAGGCACTCGCTAGACAAGCTCCCATAAAAACATTTTAAAAGAATGCCACCAAACTTCATGGATTGACAACCATTAGATTATTGAAAACACAAACATATAGTTATTTTCCCAAGACTGAAAATGTCAAAAGAGCACATAATCGCTGGTAAATACTAAAACTAAGCTGAAAGCAAAAGACAAGACACCTAGTACTCACTAACAAGCATACTTGAAACTAATTCTATTTTGAATTTAAGTGAGTTAAAAATCACTTACAGATTCAACCGCATAAGTAGGTACCATGAGCACAATACCCAACAGAAACTTCTGTTCCTGCCAACCAAAAAGCAAAAACTTAGTTTCAACCTTATATGCTCCGGTTATTTTCATCAGGATTGCTTCATGGTAATGCTTCAAAGAATTCCCAAATACAACATTGTGGAAAGAAAGATTGGTTGATCGATGATTTGATTGTCTGCATCCAAACTTAAAGGTTTTTTGTAACTTTTCCTATGAAGCAGATGGGCTGTATAAACCTTTTTTTTTACATGCAAGAAGGTCCATACGATCATCCACTTACTTTCCAGTTTCCACATAAAGTCTCAAAAAAACTCAAATCCGAGACAATCAAGAGTTATGATTGAATTGATGATAGCAATTTCCAGCATTTTGATGTGTGCATGAGAGAGAGAGAGAGACCTCAGGGTTCTTGTAAGCAGATAGGTGCTGGAGTAAAAGGAAAATTGAAAGGGTGAGACTGATAAAAACACAGACGGCAGCAACTAGGGTTGTCCATGGAAATTGGGAGTATTTAAGAATAACGATCAAACTAACAAAAGCTTCTCCTCCTATCTTCCTCATCAATGTAGGTGATGACGATAAGGAATTGCTTCATGGAATTCCCATATACACCATGAGAAGAAAGATTAACCAATCGATGGATTTGCTTATCTGCATCCAAAATCCAAAGCCTAACCCTAAATTCCTCGTCAATTGCTTGATTAGCCACTGAGTTAGGTAAAACTAGGGAGGATTTTGATCCATGAAACGAAAACTACACAACTCTGTTTATATAAAGAAAAGAGGAAAAAAGAACGAAAAGCTGCCACCTTTGGATATCAAGTTAGTTTTTTTGGAGAAAAAAAGATTGAAAGAAACGTTACCCAGGGTTCTTTCCCAGTCATTAATCTTATTAATGGCATTTTAAACACGTTAGATTTTGAACAAAGACTTCTTGGTTTTATCGACCTATGTAAAATTATAACCGAAATTATTTAGGTTAAACCATTACTTATTTGGTTTTAGGTTCAAACCATTAATGGTTTAAGTTTAGCTATCGTTGTAGGTTTAGCACATTTTTATTTTTAACATATATTCTCTGTCATCCCATTGATGCAATATAATCAAAAGTTTTAGATGTAGCAGAGCCTTCAAAAAGATTGAAACGACCTTGATCTTATTGAGAAGAATAAATTATCATCATTAATTAACGTATAGTAAAATTCAACCGGTTCAACACAATTAAGTGCTATAACTTGTTTCCGATACTCAACGGCTTAATCTGATAAGATAAGTAAAGATAACAATTTGTAAGTCATTTGATTTTTAAAATTTAATATTTTCATAATAATTTTTTTCATGATGCAACAATATTCTAAGGAAAAGAAACATTTTATTTTTTGAGACAAAAAGTAAAAGCACTTGCAATGTGTGATTGGTTTTTTAATTCTCACTTTCTAAGTAGACAGATTTTTAGGTGCAGTTTACCAAATGCTTATTCGAGTAAGTGTTTACCAAGTCACTTTATTTTACAGGATGAATATGGCAAAGACTAAAAATCTTACCCGGTAAGAGCGAATACAAGAATCGAGAGTTTTACCCGATAAGTGAGAACGAAGACTCTTACCATGGTAAGCGTTTACCAGGAAAAATTGTTGCATAGATGCGTTTTAGTGAATAAAATCTTACCCGATAAGTAAACAATTGTGTTGAATTTTACTGGTAAGTGCTTATCGGGTAAGTAAATATCATTTTGCTCTTAAAATTCATGACTTAAATATATATAATATATTAAATTGTATGTTATGTTCATTACATGGGAGAATATCATTTTGCTCTTAAATTGTATGTTATGTTCATTTTGAGAATAGTAAATATGATGAGAAACATAATCATCAAATATCATCAATATAAATGAATATTTGGTTCTTCGTTTTTTAAAATATTATTTTAGTTCCTAAATGAACTTCAATTTCTCACAGATTTAAATTAGAATAACAGGTAATGTTTTAGAATAAAAATTTATTTATCTTCAATTTCGCTGTCTCTTCTATGTTCCACCAATTAATTAAAAACAAACCAAATTATTTAATTTGATATAAATTTATTTTATTTATATTTTCACTCTGTTTCTTCGATAAATATATTATTTAACTTTGTATAATTACCGGATAGGAAGAGACAAACAGAAAAATTTGGGACAACATATTCTTATATTGATGAATCATGAACCAGATTAACTTAAAATCTAACATAAAAGTCAGAAAAAATGTTTTCAATAAAAAAAGGTAATTATTTCAGACACAACTTGCATTACAACTTAGAAATATAACATTTGAAAGTAAATAACCACCAACAAACTTGTCAATTACCAACCAACTCATCCTCAATATTTTGCAAGGCAGGTATAGGTGAAAGTGCTGGTCATATCTCATAAAAATCTGATTCTTCTTGGGTATATATGTACCCAAAACATACTGTAAAATTGCTTGGTAAAAGGGAATAAGGTCGTCAAAAGCATCAGATAACACTTGAAAAAGCATCAGATAACACTTGAAAAGAGACGAGGTTTAATCTTCGTGATCTTGTGCCATGCCGTTTTCCTGGTCTTGGCCCTCGCCTTCTCTCGTTCCATAATCAATCCATGGTAGCATAGATTCAAACAAAACCGCCAATGCATTTCGGTTAGCAACTTCACGTGGAGCACGTGCAACATCTGGAATATTTTCTTGGTTCTCGGCAACATTATGCATTTCTGCCAACCTTGGATCAATCATAAAATTTTGCAAATTCTCTGGAGGGATAGTCGGAGTTGAATCCGAGAAATCAGATACCATCAAGTGTGAATACCTGCAAATAAATCATAATTTTCATCTAAGGGGCCATTTACCAACACAAATTACAGGTAAAGGTTTCGGTCTTGGTAAACCCTGATTGAAAATGGTTTTGCAGTAAGTATTTTGTAGCAAGTGTTAGTCTGACATAGAATATGAAATCTTTTCCACGTAAGCTGGTTGTACAAAGCTACCGATAAATTACCTTTATCATATTGTACTGACTTGGTAAGTGAAATAATGATGTCGACTAGGTAGGTGCTTGGTTAGCACCATTAGTGAGATTGGTCTATAGGTAAACTAGTAGATGCTGACCGAATCAACATGGGTCAATATTAGGTAAACAGGGTTTAAAAGGTTCGTTTACCAAACGCCTACCGGTCAGAGTTACTGATGTGACTTACCTTACTGGGTAATATTGTCGACCATCAAAATGTCATAGTAGGCAATAATCTTACCCAGCAAACTCTAACTGAGCAAGTCACTCATGCCTCTTACCGGGTAAGATTCTCGGTCTTTCTCATGCTCACCCCATAAGGTCAATGATCAGGTTAGCATTTGGTAAACGCCCCTAAGTCTTGAATCATATGGCATCTATTGTTAGGTCCTGAAAATTCATGAAAAAGGCAAAAGTAGCATTTATTTTGGGACAAAGGCAGCAAGCCAACAATCATAAGAGGTTATAATTTGAAAGTGCATACTCACTCGTTCTTGTCGGATGCAAACGCTTCTTTTCTCACACATGCCCAATCCCTAGCTTCACTTCGATTAGTTTCCATCTTTTCGATGACTGATAATGCTGTATCCTTGAGAAAGTTATGCAGCTCAGGAAGTCTCCATATGATATAACTTCTTTCAACATATATATTAATCAGGTGATCCAATGACGCACTCCCTGTTTGATCCGCTCCAAAGAAATTATGGTTGATTATCTTTGTCCATACCTGCTCTTTTAAAGGAACTTTAGCCACCAACTTCCTTACAACCGAAGGGTGAAGCATTAACGCCTGTTTCATGAGATCACTTGAAGTGGCTTTGTTTTCATTCTTCGACTCTGTTTCTTTCAAGCCTTCTTCACGTTCAAGATAAAACCAACAAATTGCAAGCGAATATGAAAAGTTGGGGTATAACCACAATGAATTATCGCTATTATATTCTTCAGAAAACCGCTCTAACCATTTGTACTCCTCTGCTCTTAAGGAGAAATAGTCAATGCAGAACAAAGCACCCATCGGATCATCTGAATCTAGCGAGATCAGTAGTTTGCATATTTCAAGTGCAGAGCGATGGCACCCACGTCTATCCATATTTTTCATGTGAGCAAATAGTGTAGTGAATATCTGCTTGTTTGTATCGTGTTCATATTTCAGTCGACAGCTATGCTGTAAAGGATTAAACAATGGATGCCATGCACATTCCAAGGCGTAAAGTGATTTTGCAGTAGCATCTGCTGACATCTGTAGTTCACCAGAAAATTTGAAGTATTCTGCTAGAGTTATGAGTGAATCTATATGATAAGGATGGTGCAACAGAATGTTTGCTATGCCGTTGAGATCATGTGTTGCTTTGGCAGCTTCAAATTGTCTTTGAGCCAGGATGTAGGTAGATGAATGTACATACCTAAATCAAGTGATGCCGAAAGCAAGGTGAGATTGGAATACTGAAATAACACCACAAATTACTTTGAAATAAATTGGTACATCCCCGATAATAGTTTTTTAAGGTACATTTATATTAAAAACACAAATTAAAAAATTTACCCACTTATTCTTTTTTTCCTTAAAAGGAAACGGATGTAGCCTCGTATTCAGTATCATTATAACAAGTCCTTTTGGTGTGAATGTGATACAGATGAAAGGTACACTAGAGTTCCTTTCTATATATGCAAATTAGTTTTGACATAAAACAACGTTATACTGGAACTAAGCAAGTGCATGGTTCACATCCATAAGCTAATGATACTTCTAACCCCTCCCCTCCAACCTGACAAATAGTAATAAACTAATCAAGCCAAATCTGACACAAGATGTTGGGCGTTGAAAGTGATGTGCTGTTAGCCACGTTGGGCATGAATATATGTCCGAGAGTGAAGCATTTGTTGGTGCTTATTTGATTTAGGTCATATGTTAACCAATCATCAAATTTTAACGCTTGTGGAGCTAATCAAGCTCCAAGACTAGAAATTTTTTGTAGGGAACAACATATGTAAACATGATTGAACCAATTTGACCAAATAGTTGAACCAAAAATCCCAAGTGCTTCTCAAGATCTGCAAAACTTCAGAAGCACCACAGAAGCCAGCCTCGTAGATGTTATTTACAAACTTACAAAAACTTTCATCTAGCAGTAGTCTTATTCCTAACTCCCAAGGGGGAAGAGGGGTCAACTTAACTCCAAAATACCCTTGGTCATATATTCCCCTGTATTTGCTAAAACTACACACTCCCTCAAAGGCCAAATTATTAACTGAATGCATTCTCCAATATACTTAAAAACACTCCCTCATTGGATATAAGGATTATGGCATTTTGACCCTTATTGCAAACAAAGCAAATACATATTTCCTCCATAAGGATCCTTAAAAAATACTTCATTTTGGTCCACAAGATTTTCTTCCGGACTTATATGTGCATGAGAGGTTCTGCATTTGGCTTATAACAAACAACATCCATTAAGTGCTTGCATGGTTACAAGACAAAAAAAAATATCATCTTAGTTTCGTCTGCAACCTGCATGACATGCTATTCTAATATTGGAGATTAAAGATGATCATGCTAAATAGGAATACTGAATCAGCTGAATTGCTAATCGAAACCAAAGCTATTCAGCAGAACAAATCAAGCTTGACCAATTGTTGATTAGCTAAAATTTGGCTCCACTCCAGCACAAGACTCTCAAATAAATATTATCTCTGTGACGCTACAACTGCCAACACTCGGTTGATTATGATGTAATAAGGTTGTTAAACATTTATTCTTTGGTATGTATTCAAAAGAACATTTTGCAGAAACTAGTTTAGAGGTTAAATTGGTAATTTCTGTAATAAAGATGGTTCAAACAGAATTAATATATTTCATTTTAAGCACCATTTCTATACAGATCCTCTAAGTCATTCTGAACTCTTGATCATTAACACTTATCTGTCCATTTATTACACAAAAAGTTATGCCACTACATAAAAGACCACAATTTCTTTTTCTGCACAGATACATTATCTCAGCTGGAAATCACTTGACTTGTTAAGCCAGCAACGACCTTCACACAACTTTCAATCATCCAAAGCTCCTAAAACAGGTACACGTTACTAAATTAATATTCCATGTAGAACATTCAAGTCACTGTCAAATTTTAAGTTACTGTGTCCAACTTGAAGGCCCTTTTAACACATGTCCTCCATTCAGCTATTCCTAATTAAACTCATAATCACATGGGTGCAACCAAACACCTCCAAATGGAAATTACCTAACCAATAAAGAGCAGCAGTATACAAGAGGTGTGTTTATTAGACATCATTTTTTTCGTCTGAAGTTCTGGTTCACCCATCAGCTGACTGCATCCAACTCCACCTGGGCATACAACTTGATGATATTAAGGTCCGACGCACTTTGTACATTTAACATTTTCATTTGATAGGTCTCCTTCATATGATGTGAGAAGAAAAAGAGGTGTGATATGGGGTCCCATTCACTTCATGTCAGGAGAAAGAAGACGGGACCCACAAAAATGGAGGATGGAAGATGGAGGGAAATGGTAGAAACGAAGGAAACCCAATAATTTTACCTCATTTTACATATCCACATCAATGAAAATGGTATTAAGACAGGTTGACAGCTAATGATGCCTAAAATGCAGAGGAAGTTCCCAAGGAAGAATTTGTGGAAGGCAGCATGTAGGCATGCATGTGCAGAGAGAACCAAATTATCCCTCTAGTAACTAGTATTGCTTTGCAACACATACACAAATATAAAGTTATTTATGAATTTGCATACAGAAGAATAAAGCAAGATAAGTGCCAATTAAGCATTTTCTAGAAAATGCAACTTGAAAATGAAAATGGAGGTGATTAATAAAAAAGGGAGGCGTAACGTGACATGCTCTTGTTGCTAAAACTTATTTTTGATCAGATAAAGTTTTGCATGATTTTTTTATTTAACTACTCAGAAGGCCCTTGACAATATTTAAGTTCTCGCCCTTGACACCATTTAAGTTCACAAAGGCCTTGCATCTTTTAACGTCAAATTTTTCATTTTGGACAGGCATTGGTGACATGGGAGCTCTCTATTCCTCTATTTTTCTTTCTGTGCTTGCTGATTTCTATGTTTCTGTTATTACTCCTTGCTTTTGTTCTTTTTCTAATTTCTAATTTGTTTGTCATTCCATGTTCTTTCGCACTTTTCTTTCTTTGAGTCATGGAGAGCATACTCACCCACCTACATTACTAGCATATGATACCATATAGAGATGCCATGCAGAGAACAAAATAAGTCACTGACGGAAAAAAGAATCTTACAGAGATCTATTGCAACAAAATTGATAACCTCTTCTTTCCAAATGGTTATCATCCAAGTATAATTGTAAGTACCCATCATCAGTTTCTTCTACTATTTCTTAGCAAAAGAATGGAAACCCGATTCCCAAGATAATGCATCATCAGTTCCCTCCATCAGGTTAACCCCTCTAGGTCTCACTTCTAAAATTTCATTTGGGTGTCATTTTCCAAATTCAACCTACTCCCAGGATGAAAGACTTAACTGTTTCTGCTAAGAAAGTTGCTTGTTTGACAATATAATACTGTGGAGTCTTTGAGGTTTATGTGAATATATCTTTGCCCGTTGCCCAATCTGATGATAAAGGTGTTTGTTGGAGACATAGAATAGTTAAGTCAACTAAAAATTATGCTACCATGCCCATATTCCACAACCCATCAGCAATGTATATGACTGCTATGAATGACCAGACTAAGAGCAAATTGAATACTTCAAATGACCAAATCTAAAACAATCCTAAAGTTTAAGCGTAAATAGTTAAGTTTTACCATCTCTTCGGTAAGAGATAGCATTATAACTGCAATAAGTTAACGAAGAAGCTAAAGTTTTTGGTTTCATAGATAGATGACGGTATGATTCAGTTCAAACTGAAAGTGCTTATGGAGCAGGAAGCACAAATCAACACTGGCGTATTACAACAGACACGAGAAAATAGGTAACAAAATCCAATTTGGAAAGAAATCATGGATATGAGAAATAAAGCTTGCCTGAAATAGTTGCACCCATCTCCATGTTCAAGAAGCTCCATGGATAGAGACCCATCCCACCGAGGCCAATGGTCCAAAGGAGAAACAAGAATCGTCTTTCTATGGGTGTGGCTGCCACGTCTCACTGGGCGATTCTGTCTCGAACTTCCTGGTTGATTACTTCTTTCAAATGAACTAACTACTTTTGAACCAAATATTCTCCGCAGCTCATTTTCTGCACTAAGAAATCTTGGATCCACTTGCAATATGTGAGTTGTGCAACCTCTCCCAGGTCTATCACCACCACCATTCACATTTTCTGATTTCTTTTTTGAAGACTGGCCTTGACCACCAGACGAGTTAACTCCAAAAGACAAATCTTCTAATATGACATCTAAGGAGTTCATATCACCTGTACTTGAAGATAACTCCTTACTTTTCTTTTTCTTCTTCTTTTTCTTTGATTTTTGACTGGACGGTGTGACTTTGGTAGCAGTATCTTTCTTACTGGAGGGTATATTGTCTTCACCTTTTACTATAGAGGATGTATCGGCATCACTGGAGTCATTCTCCTGCAATTGAGATTGATTATAAAATTATACCAACCATAGAAGTTTGCTAGTTAAAAAGGTACACAGGTTGAATAAAATCAAAATAGTACTCCTATGCGAATTCAAAAATTCAAAGTAGTTACATGACATTTCCATGATACGGAAGTATATACTAGGGAAAAAGACATTAACTTCAGAAGATGTAATAAGTTGCTACTAAACAAAGGACAAGCCCCAGTCAGCATTAATAATGTGAGGCCCATTCAAATCGTACATCAACATGAGAAGACCAGCTTATGCAATTAATTTTCATCTAACTAAGTACATGAATTCAAGCTCTACGCTTGTCGCATCACTAAGAAGCATCAGGTCAGACACTCCAAGTTGATCTTTTTCAAGTTCATAGCATCGAGGTTGTGCTAATGTGAATGATTAATGCAGCTTACATATTCTTCTATAGATTGTAAGAAGCAACGGTAAAGGAAGATGGTGTGTAGCGAGTCCCCTGAGCTGGAGATGTATCCAGCTATTCTGATAAGGAAGAAATAGTGTTGGTTGTAACCATCTCAGTGACAAGCTGCGTAGGAACCCAGATGTAGCGAGTGTAATTGAGCACCATCAGTGCACTTACGCTAATGAACAAGGGTTGGCAGCTTAATGACGCATTACGTAGTGAATCTATGTGCCACATCAGTGCATTTAAACACCGCCATTGCGTTAGAGTAAGGGGATCAAACTTTGTAACATTGGTTGGTTAAAGCAAAAAAATATATCATCTAAGTACGTTCAACGATCATATGATTAAAGAAGGGAATTTGAGATCGAGATGGAAGCTGTTAGAATGTGAAAAAAGGTCAGACCAAGCAACTGAAGGCTAGTGATTAGTGATGAAGTCTTCAGATAAACAGGCGAGAGCAGAATCAGAATAAAGTCACATAAATGGAACAAGGAGATATAAAAGACGATCTGATTACTTACGTAGTTGTAAGAGTAGAAAGAACACCAAAAGTATAAACTAGAAAAAAAGAAAAACTACATGGAATATAAACAAAATTATTATGTTTTTATACTATAAATATGTACTTATCATTATTCAAGTAAATACAATAAGACGACTTTTCCTTTCAGTTACTTTACTTCAAATATGGTATCAGGGCAGAAAAATTACACCCCTACCTCTTCTCTTAGTCAAAGTAAGCCCAACAAAGCCCCTCCTCGCCGTCCCACTCTCATTGTCACCAAAGCAGTCGCTGTCGGTTCCGGTGCAATCATCTTCCTGCTGCTGAGAAATAAGACACCATTGTGGGGTGAACTGTTGCTGCCTTCACACCATCTCTCGTCACTCTCATTGAAGACCTGATTTTTCCTTTTTTATAAAACACGGCCAGACTTCTGCTTCTGTAAACACTCTCTTCATTTGGTGATATAGTAGCAAGGATTTCACAAGACAATCTCCAAGTGCTTGTTACCAGCAATGTTACAGCAACCTCTGTGCATGGTATCAGGCTTCATCAGTTTGCTGCTAGCACCCTTGTTCTTTCCTTCTTCAAAAATGGCAACAAGTGATGAACCTCCTCTCAAACAAATAGGACTTTTGGCCCCCCAGCATAGTCAAGTGACCCTAGTGGATCTCTTTGTAGCTCTTACAGTGAATCTCTGCAAATCACAGACCACAGGCTGCAAACCACAAGCTCTAAAGTTCATCATCTGTGGTCATGGCAAGCTTGGCTATATCAAGAACAACCTCCCTGCCCTTTCTATCACAGATCCTAGCTACAAGGTACGGCCGGCTGAGAACACTATTACCCTTGCTTGGCTTATTAACTTGATAGACCCCAAAATCAGTCACAAATATTCAAAACAGCTAAGGAGGTCTAGGATGCAACTCGTCGTATGTATTCCGATCTCAAGTAATGCGTCTCCAATAATTTGAAATCCGTACTAGACTAAAGAAATGAAACAAGGTAATTCTACTGGCACCCAATATTTCTCAGACCTAAAAGACTTATGGCAGGTGCTTAACCTATATTTCAAAACCACACCTCTGAGAACTAATCATAATGTAAAAGAGAAACAACAGCTTGAAGAGGAACAAGTCTTTGAATTCCTTACTGGGTTGGACAGCAGCCTTGATGAAGTGCAAGGACACTGGTTAGTCGCTCACAATTACCTTATATTGAGGAGGCATTTTCTGAAGTTCGTTGCGAAGAAGCACACGTCATGCTCACTGCCTCAGAGATTCAAAATCTTCAACCAATGGGGAACTCTATTTCTTTGTAGATCAACATCCAAGAAAACAACAACCTAGCACATCTATTTTGGTCTCTACTCTCTAGCTTGGACTCAAATTCTGTTTAAATTCCTAGCAAAATAATGTTATGGCACTATAGACTTCGACACCCAAGTTTTCCCGATTGAAGCATTTGTTTCCATTGTCATTCAATAAAGATTTTCTCTCTTTACAATGTGATATTTGTCAATTTGATAAACATACACGAACCTCCTTTCCCCATAAATCCTATACAGCACCCTCAGAAGTCACTACCTCCTAGGACGCATAGGTTCATATCATTTATCAAAGATCACACACGTATTACTTGGGTTTATCTACTTCTGAACAAATCTAAAACATGTCATGTCTTTCAAAACTTTCATAACTCGGTACCAAACACCTGTTTGTATATTACTACCAGATAATGGCACTAAATTTTTCTATTCTACTTTGGGTCACTATCTATCCAAAATGGAATTATCCATCAAAGCTCATGTGTTGATACACCCCAATGGAACAATATCGTCGAAAGAAAAATTCGCCATCTATTATAAGTTGCTTGAGCTCTCGTATTGAACATTCCAAAGTACCTTCCGGGAGATGCCATCCTCACCACCATCTACCTCATCAATTGTCTATCTAGCCGCTCACTTAAGTTTAAAACACCATATCTCATCCTTCATGCTTCCTACCCTCGCATTTCCTAAACCACTCATCTAGTATTTTATTTCCAAGATCGTATAAAGCTTGATGCTAGGGCAGTTACGACGATCTTTATTGGTTATGCTCCTACCTAAAAAGGTTATCATTGATGGTACCATCCTCTCACGAAGAAGACTTTTGTGTTAGGGGAACCAAATTTCTTTGAAAACGCTCCTTATATTCCCCCCACCTTGCTTCAAGGGAAAAAAGTAGTCACAAGAGCAAGAACCTCTCATAGGCTTAGAACTACCCCTAAATCAACATTCTCTTCACCATTTAGTCTGCCATGTTTTGACATGGAAAGACATCTTCAACAACCACAGTTGTGTGTTTATTCTAGGTGACAAAAAAAATAATCAAGTCATAAATCCTCATCATAGTCAATAATCCAATCAAGAAATAGAACCGGTCATACTATATTTTTAATCCGTTAAACACTATGGAAAAAGAAAAATGATGATCCTGGGTGTGTATGTTGATGAAATTATTGTTACTAGAAATTGTGAAAAAATAAATCTACTCAAAGAGATATGGCAAAGGAAGTAAAGGTCAAGAGTCTCAGGCACTAAGATACTTTCCGATATGTTATTCGCTAGAAACGAAAGGAATATTTATGTATCTCAAAGAAAATACGATCTTGATCTCTTAGAAGGAAATGGGAATGCTAGGTTGTAACCCAGAAAAACGTAATTGAACTCGGAGACAAACGAAAATGTTCAAAGGAGATCCGTCGACAAAGGGAGATACCATAAGTTAGTAGGAAACGTATATATCTCTCCCATAGTAGACTTGGCATTGCTTTTGTTGCGAGTATATTAAGTTAGCATACATAATCCTTGTCAAGGTCATCTCAAACTCATGTATTAGGTTTTGAGTAGCAAACTCCAGGCAAAGGGTTATGTTTCAACTTCAAGAAACAAATGAATGAAAGGTTGAGGTATTACACATGCTAACTAGGTTGGATCAATTCATGATGGAAGATCCACATCTAGTTATTGTACTTGAAAAAGAGACTTTGATCATCAAACATATTCCTATTCAGATGCAAAACTAATATGATACATGTCGACCGATTAACCAACGATAGTTTCCTGCCATTAAGATTGTGCATATAAACTTTAAGTTGCACGCTTAACCTTTTGACATCTAAATTCATGTTTAACTCTTATGAGAAGAAGTACAATTCACATAAAAATGCATCAAGACGATAAAATGATTTTACTATTGAGGATAGCAAAATAACTTCAAACAAATAAAATATTGAATGAAGGCCCCACAAAATCATCTACTGCATATTCACATCAAACTATATGCACAAAAGGGTCCTAAATCTAGTGACACTTAAAACATTAATTAAAATACTATCCATCAAGGAAAGAAAAAACAAAGAAACTTCTTAACTACTAGGACCATTAAGAGCCCAAAATAATAGTCTCTTATATTAAACAATTAAAAACTGAAACAAAACATAAAGAGCTAAACTTTGTATTTACATATCAAATTTTTTTAAAAATTCAATATTGATGTGGATTATAAACTGTTGAAAAGAAACAAAATACTGTGCAAGGTAAAACCTATACTCCCTCTATTCCAAAAACAAAAGAGCTACCTTTGTTTTTCAGCATCAAACCTAGTAGTACTTAAGAAGCAAAGAGTTGATATGAATTTGTTATTAATTTAGCAAACCTGTTACAAAGATCATAGATTTTCAAGTATTTCTTCAAAAGTTAAGAACCCACAACAATTATCATGCTCCATCATTTATTGCATAAAACGTAATAGGCTGGGCAGTTGGCATCCAAAATCAAAGTGTAGCTCTATATCTGGCAGTGAGAGACTAGTAGACTATTACCAGCAAATTAAAAAAAAATAGTTGAAAACCATGAATGCCCAATAACATCACATAATAACCCTATCCATCAGGAAAGATCAAAAAAGAGAATCAATATTAAGTACATCAATCAGTAACAACCAAATCAACAATAAGAGAATTCAACTATTACGATATAAACAACAAAAACCATCTTGTAATCAAACACACCTGCTCCTGCTCATTGAGAAGAGCAAAAGGATTAATAGAAGAAGGTCGGGGTGAATCGGAGGGCGATTCCGATTCATCATCGGCTGACAATATGCTGTTCTGATTTTTTGCTGATTCTTGTTCTTTGAGCACTTTCCTCAACGCTCTAGCTGACATCGTTATTGGTTAAGTTCTACAACTACCGACCTCAATTTGTGAATTCCCAGACCTTAAAACCCTTTTAAGTCTCCCTGTATCACAAATTTTCCATTTAACTCCTCCTTGTTATGTAAAATATCATAATCTCCCCCAAGGTTCTGGATTCCATCATTTGACCCCCTTCCAAATATTAAAACCTATGGGAGCTTGTATAGATCGGGGAAGCCGGAAGGACGTCTCGTATTTGTTGTGAATCTGAATCATGTCGTCCTAATTTTTTGGAGGCTACGTTACATTCGTACTAAAATTACATATCATTTGAGATGAGTAATAAAAAATAAAATATAAAATTTCTTATTATATTTAAAATCTTATAAATTAAAACAACAAAAAATTTAAAATGACAAAGTGAGAAAAATATCAAATAGTTGTTTTTTTGTTTTTAATCGGCAAATTAAAAGATTAAATGCACGTTTTTAATTTTAAAAGAAATTATTTAGGCTTTCATTAAGGTGGATTCATAAGTTGTGTTATATAACTCCAAATTTCAAGCACAAGTAAAATTTGGAGATTTGTACCTCTCTTTTCTTTCTCTATTTAACATACTGTATGACATAGTTGTTGAAGTAAAAATATACCTTAAATCATCAAAATCTCTATTTTAACATAATTATTATTGAAGACGCCCTTATTAATATAAAATAACAAAAATTAAAAATATTTTGATAAAAATCAAGCCCGGATGAAAAAAGACTTATCAACCCAACTTTAACAAAATTTATGTAAATTGATTTTTTTATAGAGTAAGTAAAGTAAGGATTTAGTCCCTGTGGTTTACACATTCTACTTATAGTGGTCTCAAAACCAAAATAAATACAAATATGGTATTCTTGGTTGACATTTTCATGCTCATGAGTCTGTCTCTAATGGAATAAAATTGTTTTTGTTAACCCAGTTAAATCCAGGGGTAATTTAGTCTTTTTCATCTTATTTTTGTCTTTATCCTAATTAAGAAATAAATAATTAAATAAACATATATTACATATTATTATATTATATACTAGAAGCGTATTCGCGTAATGCAGTTAGATACATCGTGATTTTAGTATTTCATTTTATTCTTTATCTCAGTTGATGTTATAATATGGCTTTATGTGATTTTGAGAAAGCGATGATATTTTTATTTTTGAATAAAATATATGTTTGAAGATATCATAAAAAATTGACAAAAATATATCGATATTAGTATTAAATTAACTATTTGAAATTCCTCATTTTTTGTGTAACTTTTTAATTCAATTTTTTTAATTTAATTTATATACAATAACGAAGTAATTTATATTTGGTTTAATAATATAATTTTTTTGTAAAGATAATAATTATTTATATTGTTGGAACTCGATAATTATTCTAATTATATTTTATATTTTTTATATTTTAAAATGAGATGTTTATCATCTATTTGATTATGTTTATTCGCAGTTATTTATATGAATTCAAACATCGAGCTTTAATAAGCTCTACTTACGCATAATTACTTGTAATCTTGAATTTTAAGTAATATGCATCAATATACAGTACTTTATGCATAACAAAAATATATCGATAATACATATGATACAATACACATGTCTTCGATCACCATCTCTAGCACCGATCACCTCCCTTTGCTATTTCCTGCCTCATTCAAATGTAACACCCATCTCCCATTTTCTGGTGACCCGGCCCCATCCCGTTCCCACGTCACTACCACCATTCTGATCTCGATCTTTCTGGTGACCCAAACCCAAACCAGACAAAATCTCTATGTTTGCAGCGATGGTCTTGGGAAGAAGAAACAAGGGGAAGGGGTAAGGTTCTCCAACTGTGATATTCCTTTCCCAAGTACCATTTTCCTATGAGGTACTCCAATTGTGATATCCCTTCTCAACCACCAATTTTTTGGTGACGCAAACGCATGGATCATTTTTTAGTAACGTAGGCCCATCTCGTTCCCTTGCCACCACCATCTTACTTATCTCAGTCTCCATTTTTTTTTTACTTAGACCCAACTTAAATGAAATCCCTATGTTGCAGCAATGGTCTTGGGAAGAAGAAACAGGGGGAGGAGGTAAGGTACTCCGGAGAAAATGAGGGGTTTGAGAAGAAGATGAAGACTTTGTACTGCGATGATGGTTTTGGGAAGAAGAAACAGGGGCAAGAAACAAAGGGAGGAAATGGCTATGATAGAAAGAGGTCGTCGGATCTGATGGTGGTGAAGAAACCGACGCCAGAGACGGTGACTGGCGTCGGTTGATGGTATGCAGGAGGTTGATGTGGGGAAAAGACAAAGGGTGGATTCAGTGTTATGTCTGTGTATATGTGTTTGTGTGTGTGTGTATATATATATATGTGTGTGTGTGTGTGTGTGTATATATATATATATATGTGTGTGTGTGTGTGTGTGTGTGCCTGTTGCTCGTCGGTTTATTCAACCTTAGATTCCAACACAAAAATAGAACTTGGCGCAAGTATACACCTCGAACTACTGTCGTCTCGTAACAAGTAATAATGGTAAAAAGTACCAGATTATCGTTCCCACAGAGATAGCTTGTAAAGTTAATTCAAAAAGTCCAGTTTATAAAAACTAAATTCAGAAGACGAAACGAGAGATTTGATTTATCTAAAATGGGGAGATTTGATTATCAACTAAGAAAATATCAATCTTAAAAAGAAGCACAGGGTGCAACAGTTGATTAAGACATTAAACAAATGATTCAGTAAAAAGGTGACATAGCATTCCTGTCATAATTATCTAAAATCAATAAATAATTTTATATTACTATGACAGTATCAACTATCGGGTCAGACGGCCTCCCAAGAGCACACACCGGTCAACGTGCTATCGATACGATATCATTTATGTTAGACGTCGTGAATCCTAGCACAACACGATGTTATCATCCTACACCGTAGGAGTATAGCATTTGTCAGATACTAAAGCTATTTATAGCCTTCTCCTATTACCTCAGGTTTTGAAAGTCAATACATTTTATACACAAAATTAGTTGTCAATTAATTTTAATGTAATCATCAAATGAAATATTAAGCACCTGAAATAAATAGTAGACTATAATGCTAATAAGACACCTTTGTACTTTCACATCGGCTTTGGTCTTAATTTCCCGTTACACCCCAAGCTAAGGCGTTAGCCCATCATCGCTCRGTTTCTTCTCTCGAAGGATGTAAGRACTRAAAAGTAAATAACGAGACGGAAAAGTAAATTGCAGAAAGTAAATTACAAGAAATGGAAATACTGAAAGTTAAATGACAGAAATGTAAATTGCAATAATGTAAATACAGAAATGTAAAGGACTGAAATATAAAGACAGAAATGTAAATACTGAAATATAAAGACAGAAATGTAAATTACAGAAATGTAAATACTGAAATGTAAATACTGAAATGTAAAAGACTGAAATGTAAATGCTGAAATATAAAAAACTGAAATGTAAAGACTGAAATATAAAGACAGAAATATAAAGACAGAAATGTAAATTACAGAAATGTGAAGGACTGAAATATAAATTATTAATAACTAAATAATATTAATTATATTAATCTAATAATAATAATAATAATAATAATAATAATAATAATAATAATAATAATAATAAAAAGGAAAGTACATATTGGGAAGACAAAAATACTTTGATGGATGGAAGGATGGATGGATGGAAAAACCTTGGGAAACGTGAAAGAAAACTTGCAAGTCAAGTAACGTAACTTGCACAACAAGTTACGTTACAAAGACCGAAGGTTAAATGCAAACTTGAAAATGCGATTTATTTAGACTACGTACTTTAGAGACGAGAAAACGTAATGTAACTTGAAACTAGTAACGAGATGAAGATTAAAAGACGAGTACTTAAAATAAACCTTGAGAATACATAAGTTGTGTGTGTGTGTGTGCCTGTGTTGATCATCTCTTTCAATAATTTGATGATGATCCATTTTACCTTATGAAGTATATTATCTAAGTAGTTAGTTTCAGCCATCATCACAAAGTCTGTTCAGTGATCGCTCAACATGTATTGTAATTCATTCAGAGACCAATATTCTTCAAGAAGACAAAACGCATACTACAAATCCTTCAGCGATGTCGAAAACATAAGTTGAAGATTAGAGACCAGCAAGTTTGTGATTTGAAGCGGTTTTTAGTGATAATAAGCTCGTCTATACAAGTGTGAAGTCTACGCAAGATTCAGTGAACATGGATGAGACCTTTAGTGTCATTCTAATGTTCAACGATCAAATGATTGTTGTTAGGTAAGATTAGTTTTTGTCTTGTTCTTCTGCAAACGAAGAACAAAGTCACTCATCTGTCTCCAAACGTGCTTATTTACTTTATGAAAGAAGACTGTTCACATACGGCCAAAAAGACTGTATACTGCAACAAATAACAAGCTTTCCTCTAAAAGCTTGTCATGTTTATACATTATGAATTGCATTTAATGCAATAGATATAAATAGCTGAGTAGTTCTCTTCTCAATTATCATCTTCCTTCTCTAAACTTACCCAAGAATTTCTCTCTCTCTACTCTCTGTCTAAGAAAAAGACTCATTTTATCAAGTGAAGAGCACATTACTTCTTATCTTATTTCTTGTAACAAGTATTTTCTTATTGTTATCTCTAATTTTGTGTGTATCTTATCTTTTTCACGAAACAATCTATAGAATTTGTATTGATCTTCTTTATCAATATATAATTTTTAGAAGTGAAATTTGTTGTGTTTTTATTCATCATCCCCTTATACAAACTGTTACCTTTAAACTCTTGTATATCCGGCTGAGACCAACAATATATAATACAATTTATTAAAATATAATTGTTTTCATTAATAAAAAGTAACAAATAACCCAAAAATATCAAAGTACCTCTCAATCTAACAGAGTTAGAGGGAGAGACTCAATGAGTGCGAAATGTCAATCAGAAGTACCATATCTATATTTATTTTGATTTTGAGACCACCTTGATAGAAAATATAAACGACAAGGACCAAAGCCATCAT